GATGGAACTCTTTTACTATTGGGTGCCTTATTCACTACTGAGGATAGAGGAGTGGCAAACCAGATGGGCTAGGGCTTGACATCCACTAGGACACAATTTACCGGTGGGTAGGGCTGCTGGGTCAAACGTGCAACTCTGAGCTTTTAATTTTTTTTTTTAATATCAGATGGAGGAGATCGGGTTTCTAGCTTTGATATGCTAGCTCGACATCTGGGCAGAGCCTCCTCAGCACCACACAGCATGAGGACATGGCCTGTCGTCCTCTCTGTGTTCTATGAGTAGCTAAGCGGTCTGTCCACCATTCTCTCTCTTGCTGTTCCAGCTTCTCACATGCAATGGGGTAAGTCAGCCAACCAGCTATCTTCCTTTCTGTGGGAAGAAATTTTTGTTTCAGCCCAGTAGTGTAGCTAGTTCAAAAATCTCTTCTGCACAGTAGGGGACATATTTTTAGAGGCTATACTAAATGTACTTTGTTGACAGGAAAAATCCCAGTAAAGTGTAATTGGTTTCTTTTTTTTTGTTTTTGTTTTGTAATTGGTTTCTGAAAGAAATATAAAAATACTTCACAAAAAATTTACAGAAATTTTAGAGCACATGAAGTATCCATTTCTCACAACACTTGAGGAAAATTACGGTACTATGTATGCTTTCAGAATAACAGGCCAAGTAGTAGAATATTGATAAAATGTACCTGTTTTTCTACCACCTTGTTGTTTCATGCACTCCTACTTCCCTATTGAATATTCTGATATTTTAATTAAAAAGCATTTAATCAAAATCAAAGTCAAAATAAATCCAGAGGTGAACATCTACATTCTTTTAGAAATTTGGAATTTCATAGAAATTCTTAGCTGAAAAATCATACCTTTAGCAACTGACTATAATTTTATTAACCGATTCACATATCCATGTGGGGCCTGGGTTGATGTTATATAACCTATGATTTCAATCTCTTGTTCATGTTTGGTACACAGAATTGCAGGTTGCCCTGAAAAATGAGAACAAGAAAAACAGAAAAGCATATCCTCCACAACGCAGTTAGCATGAAAACACAGTGACATCTGGTATTTTTGGTTAAGCAGTTATATGGGTCAACCCATGCATTAGCATATAATTTCTTCTTATCCACCAAAAGAGTTGGTCAGGTAAAAATATTAACGTAATTGATAAGACAGTTATAAATACTGCACTATCAAAGGAAAGAAGTATGGAAGAAAAAAGTAAGGTAGGTGGTAGGTTTGTTCCGGGGAACTGATTAGGGTATGTTATCAGAAAACTCATAAAGAAGAAATTCATTGTGGGAAGAGAACCAAAAGAGACATAACTTCTTTTAACCATTTATTTGTCTTTGTATAATAACATATTATAGTAGATAGCATTTTAAATTATTTATTATTTCTCATAAGATTTACACTTGGTATCTCTACCTTTAAGTTGTTTAGGGTATATAGTGTCTTGATTTTATTTCACTGTTTTTGTTTTTCTGTTTTTTTTTTTAAGATTTATTTATTTATTTATTCCTGAGAGATAAAGAGAGAGGCAGAGACACAGGCAGAGGGAGAAGCAGGTTCCTCACAGGGAGCCCAATGTGGGACTCGATCCTGGATCCTGGGATCATGCCCTGAGCTGAAGGCATACGCTCAACCGCTGAGCCATCCAGGTGTCCCAATTTCACTGTTTTTGATAGATGAAGCTGGGAAATGACAGTCCTGGCAAATTGCCAAAGGTAGCAAACATGTTTAATGGCAGAATTGGAAGTAGAACACATCACTCCTGTCTCCCTAATTCAGTGCAAACAGATGTGTATATTTCCACAATTTTTCGGGCCATGGTTACCTGGAGAGGTCTGTTGAAGAAATTTTTCTTTCTTTTTAAACATTTTGTTTACTTTTTATAAAGATTTTATTCATGAGAGACACACACACACACAGAGGCAGAGACACAGGCAGAGGGAGAAGCAGGCTCCATGCAGGGAGCCCGATGTGGGACTTGATCCCAGGACTCCAGGATCATGCCCTGGGCCGAAGGCAGATGCTTAACCGCTGAGCCACCCAGGTGTCTCAAGAAATTTTTTGAAGTAAACACACGCTTTAAGTATTTTCTACTTGTAATTATGTCTTTTAATTATGTCAATGTGGTTTTATTTTAATGTGTTTTGTTTTTATGATTTTTACTTCTGATAAAATCTAATGGAAGGTATCTTTGGAAGATACACATTATGACTCAAAATAATATAACTCACCACAAGCCTGTATACTATATTTATGAATTTAGTCAAGAAACATTGAGTGTCTACTGTTGTCAGGCTTAACAATTACTACTTCACTTGTCTTCATGCTAACTTTGTAAGTACATCTTATACTTAGGTTTCAGATGCAGGTAAGGAATTTGTCTGGTATAGTGAGATGCAGAGCCAGAATTTGTATCCTGTCTTACCTCAGTCTTTCTTACCCCAAAAGCCATAGAATTTCTACTGCACCAAATAAAACGTCAGACTCCCTTCTCTCAAAATGTGGTGGGTATCTAGATGGGGAGGGACATATATTTGGTTGTAGGGGGGGATACATCGAATAACGCTTTACAAAAGAAGGAACATTGGACATGGTGCTTGACAGGTGTGCTTGTTTTCATTATGTGGAGATAGGCTGAGAAGTGGGAGCTAAGAACAATGTCAAACAAGGGTACAGAGTGGGAGTCAGGGCATATGCAGGGAACAAGTTTGGATGGAATTAGGGTGTGTGTAGGAAAAATGTGCTAAGTTTGGAAAGGTGTCTGAATCCAGGTTCTAAAGATCCTTCATCAAAAGGCAGTGGGGAGCCTTTACTAATTACCATTGTCTTAGAAATATAGGTATGAATACAAAACACTCAGCCCTAAAACTTTAATGGTAACTTTTAAGGTTATCACCGTCTTCTTAAGGGGACATTTTTCTTTTTTAATTTATAAAGGGTAAGAGAATCCTTCTACTTGATAACTCAGAATTTATATATAGAGTGTTTGGCATACCAAAAATAAACTCTACTGACCATTTATTTATTTTAAAAAAAGATTTTATTTATTTATTCATGAGCGACACAGAGAGTGAGAGAGAAGCAGAGGGAGAAGCAGGCTCCATGCAGGGAGCCCGATGACTTGGGACTCAATCCCAGGTCTCCAGGATCTCGCCCTGGGCTGAAGGCAGTGCTAAACCACTGAGCCACCCGGGCTGCCCTCTACTGACCTTTTAGAAAGAGAGAGAGAGAGAGAGAAAGAGAGAGACTGAGAGAGAGATTGATAATTGGCTTCCAAAAACAGACCATCAAAGTTTTATTGAAAGTATCTTGCTTTAATTTAGATAAACAATTTTAAGTTTGCTTTATTAGAGTTTGAACTTTTAATTATGAAACTCAGTACAATGCCTTAATTCTATTTCTTTGGACTCATCAACCATCCAATGTCGAAATGGTGGATTGTATGTATGCTATACCTATATTGAAGCTTCCCAGTACATTTATTTATGGTGGCAGTATGTTTAACTGAAACAGTCTTTCTCAGCTTACCTTTAAGCTAGTTGTGTCCTGTCATCACATTTGGGCCAATGAAATCCAAGGAAATATTTTTTTCCAGTGGTTGTCTAAGAAAGTGCTTAGAGATGGGGATAATTTTTGCTCTTCTAGGAGAATGCATGGGATAGTTGGAATCCCAATGGCCAATATCTCAGATAACCTCTTTGGTACCTCTGGACAGAATAGAAACCTGTCCTTGCAGATGAATTAGAAAAAGTTCCTCTTCTGGTCAGGTGAATTAGCTTGCAGTATATAGATCCCACTCACTTCTTGGTCAGGGGCCTTTGCAGTAAACAAACTGCACAACTGTATGAGGTGGCCCTGACAGCTGTATTGGATACTGAGGCAGGAAATGGAATCATGTTCTAAGGAAAGCAGGGAGGAGACAGATTCCTGCTGAACATGGATGTGCCATTTCAGCTCTGAATCGACTCCTACCATAACTTCTTTTATGTGAGAGAAAAATAAAATTTAAGTCTGATTTCTTGTATAGCAGCTAATTACTAGTAAATTAAGACCAAATAGTATGGTTTAAGAAGGGCTACTAGTAATTAATCAATTATACAGATGTTTCTTGAGCATTATGTATCACTCTGTGATGTGCTAGGAATAAAAACAGGGCTTAAGATCTACTATGTGAGATAGATGCATACTTACATATATAATTACAGTATACCATGATATAGTTGCTCAGTTTGCATTTTGCACAGACATCTGGCCAAGAAGTGAGTGCGGGCTGGGCTCTGATAGACTGCATTCACACAAACAGAGAATCTTTTATAGTTCATCTCCACATATGGGATGTCTGTTCTTTAAAGACTATGATTCAACCAATAATAATGCCTTATCATTCAGTGATTTCCAAATTTATTTAGCAGTAGTCTTCTCTGAAAGAACTCTCACACAGAAACAATGTGTTAGTCCGCATGCTTTGGTTGTAGAGGTCTAGCTCAAATTAGATGTAGAAGAGAATTTACTACTTAATCACATACATTGTAATAAAAGTGGGCACAATGTGCTAAAGAAATACACAGTAGGGCTTTTATTTTTTTTAATTTTTTTTAAAAAATTGTTTGTTTATTCATGAGAGACACACACAGAGAGAGAGGCAGAGAGAGAAGCAGGCTCCATGAAGGGAGCCCAAGGTGCGACTCCATCCCAGGTCTCCAGGATCAGGTTCTGGCCTGAAGGTGGCGCTAAACCACCGAGCCACCCTGGCTGCCCTCACAGTAGGGCTTTTAGAGATGGCTCCAAAGAGGAAGTGATGCTTGAGCCAAATCTTGAAAGATGTTTTCTTTTTTTTTTTTTAATAAATTAATTTTTATTGGTGTTCAATTTACCAACATACAGAATAGCACCCAGTGCTCATCCCGTCAAGTGTCCCCCTCAGTGCCCGTCACCCATTCACCCCCACCCCCCGCCCTCCTCCCCCTCCACCACCCCTAGTTCGTTTCCCAGAGTTAGGAGTCTTTATGTTCTGTGTCCCTTTCTGATATTTCCCACACATTTCTTCTCCCTTCCCTTATATTTTCAAAAGGAGGACAAAATGGGAAAGAGCATGCCATTGCTGAGTAAGTAGCTTGTGCAAAGAGAACTAAAAGAGCATGCCCTGTTTTGGAAATAAGTGGTTCATTAAAATCAGGGGGGAGAGAGAGAGGCTGAAAGTTAATGGCTTCAGGTGGTGGTGATAAGGGAGAGGCAGATCATTAAGGCCATATATGCTTGTGAATTTGCTTTTAGTTTATAAATTATGGGAAGTCATTGAAAGATTTTTTTTTTTAAATTTTTATTTATTTATGATAGTCACACACAGAGAGAGAGAGGCAGAGACATAGGCAGAGGGAGAAGCAGGCTCCATGCACCGGGAGACCGACGTGGGATTCGATCCCGAGTCACCAGGATCACGCCCTGGGCCAAAGGCAGGCGCCAAACCGCTGCGCCACCCAGGGATCCCCACTGAAAGATTTTAAGAGCAAAGTAAAATGAATTAGAATATGTATTAAAATATGTTGGAATTATACTTAGTAGGGATGCATTAATAGACAAAATGCAAAAACTTAGGCAAGAGGATTCAGGCTGACCTACGACATTAGCAGTTCACTGGGATGGGGGAATAGATTATTGAAAGTATTTAGTAGGTCAAATTGGTAGATTTTGGTGATGATGGGAGAGAAAACTTAAGGATGATTCCTAGGATTCTGCATTGTGGAACCATTCATATGATTACATGACAATTAGCATGGTGGTACCACTTATTTTTTAAAGATACTATTTATTTGCTAAGAGAGATAGAGGGGAGAGGAGAGGGAGGGAGGAGGGAGGGGGAGAGAGAGAGAGAGAGAGAGAGAGAGAGAGCAAGGGGAGGAGGGGCAGAAGGAGAGGGGGAGAGAGAACCCCAAGCCGACTCTGCACTGAGCATAGAGCCCCATGTGGGGCTTGATCCCACAAAACTGAGATCATGATCTGGGGAGAAATTAAGAGTTACTCCACTGAACTACCCAAATGCCCCTTGGTGATACCATTTTTTTTTAAAGATTTTATTTATTCATGAGAGACACAGAGAGAGAGAAAGGCAGAGACATAGGCAGAGGGAGAAGCAGGCTCCATGCAGGGAGCCCGATGTGGGACTCAATCCCGGGACCCCAGGACCACGCCCTGAGCCAAAGGCAGATGCTCAACCGCTGAGCCACCCAGGCGTCCCGGTGGTACCATTTTAAATTATTTATTTATTTATTTATTTATTTATTTATTTTTATTTATTTATTTATTTATTTATTTATTTATGATAGTCACAGCGAGAGAGAGAGAGGCAGAGACACAGGCAGAGGGAGAAGCAGGCTCCATGCATTGGGAGCCCGATGTGGGATTTGATCCCGGGTTGCCAGGATCGCGCCCTGGGGCAAAGGCAGGCGCCAAACTGCTGCGCCACCCAGGGATCCCCCGGTGGTACCATTTTAAATAAGAGTCACACAAGGCCAGCAACAGGTTTTGGAGGAGAGACAAAGAACTCAGTTTTAGGCATACTGACCTTGAAATATGTATAGACTGTCCAGGTGGAGATACCCAGGAGGAAACTGACAATGTAGGTCTGAAAGTGTGGAGAGAACTCTGGATTAGAAATGTAGATTGGAAATTATAAGCATAAAGATGGCAGTTAAAACCTGTAGATCTGACCATCTTAGACTCAAAAAGTATGTTTGGGTACCATATGAAAAGCATGTGAGAGGCTGAAAGAGGAAAAGGCATCTATTATGGCCTCCATGCAGGCAAATAGCTTCCCACTAAGCAGTCAGTAAGTGAAATTGCCACTGTTGTGATTTATTCTTTTAGATTAAGGTTCTCTAAGTAATTGCCTCTTAAAAATACCATTGGGAGGAATTAAACAGGTGACAGGGTAGTGTAATGAAGAGAACAACTGAGCAAGGTATCTAGAAATCAGTTCCTAACACTGACTTTGACAGCCATTGACTGCCTGTGTGATGTTTAGCAAGTTACTTTGCCTTAGGTTCCTCATGTAGAAAAAGGAATTAGGACAAGGTGACTTTTAACGTTTGGTAGACTATGATTCAACCAACAATAATGTCTTATTATAGTTTGGTTCATTGACTTTCAAACTTATTTAGCAGCAGTTAGCCTTCTTTGAAAGAACTTTTATGCAGAAACAACGTATTAGGATGTTTTCGTTTTAAGGTCTAACTCAAGTTAGTCTAGAAGACAATTTACAAATTTAACCACACTATGTGAAAAGGTGCAACTGGACCCCATGGGTGACTGGAAATTCAGATTGGTGCACCACCAGGACTTGCTATCTCTCCTTACATCTCTGTGTAATGGCTTCATTCCATGTAAAGCAGTATGTGGCCACTTGCCATTATCAAGACTTCCTCTTTTCTCAGACTACCACTGTAAGTGGAATAGCCCTTTTTTCTTTAAGTTCCACCTGAACACATCCTGGGAAAGAGCGCTGTTTGCTTGGGCTTATGTCAAATGCCCACGCTGTATACAGCCAAGAAGTTTGGGGACTCAGCTGCAGCTGCCACTAGAGTCACCTGTTTATAGAATAGGCAGGAATAGTTTCCCCAAAAGAAAGGAGCACTGTTTGGGATGCCTGGGTGGCTTAGTGTCTGCCTTTGGCCCAGGGTGTGATCTTGGAGACTCGGGATCGAGTCCCACGTCGGGCTCCCTGCATGGAGCCTGCTTCTCCCTCTGCCTATGTTTCTGCCTCTCTCTCTCTCTCTCTGTCTCTCATGAATAAATAAATAAATAAAACCTTAAAAAAAAAAAAAAAAGAAAGGAGCACTGTTTGTAGGAAAAGGAAAGTTACCAGGGAGACAAATAGATGGTCAATATGTAAAATAGAAACTTTCTAGTTGAAGTCTCACGTATCTGGTCTCCTCTGTGTATCTTAGGTGGGTTTGAAAATCCCATGAGGATCCTTGGAATACAGCATTAAAATAATTGATTTTATTGATTGGATAGCATGCCAGGTGCCTACAAGTCCTTGACAAACTGAAGTAGTAGATTTTTATTCATAGTGGTAGTGCTTAACTAGAAAAGTTTTGGAATAAGGAAAGCACAAGAAAGAGTGGTGCTGATGTTGATTGGGCTGGGGTGGAGATTCTGAATATTCAGGGATCAAGGAACTTGAAATGGGAAATATAGAAAGAGGAAGTAAGGGGGCACCAAGATGAACTTTGCCGACTTTGCCATTTTATCTGGAACTAACAAATCATACGGCACACTATATAATGAGAGGAAAATGTTCATCTTTGGCCAGGGTGGTGGGATGGTCTTTGGTGTCATCCACAGTCATTCCTGAGAAAGGAACAAAAGGGGAGGCTGATGGAAAGACAGGATGCCCTGTCAGGAGGTCTGGGAAGTAAAAATTCAAGATCATCTTGGTTAATACTTGTTTAAAAGTTATACTAATGAGTATCAGGTAAATTACATTTAATTATTTTACTAATTACATCTTACTAAATAACTTATATGTGATATTTTCTTTAACAATTATGTGGCTATTAATAGAAAAGTGTATTGAAATCAGTAAAATCAAGTTTAGTTGAATCTTTATCAAATAGTAATAATATTCTTAAATAAAAAACTTTAAACCTTTCCCTTTTGAGCGAGCTGTTCAACAGAACTTCAGAAAATAGATAAAACAACATAGTTCTCAGGGATCTTATAGATCCAGTTACACTACTGACAGAAATAACATGTAGAGATCTGATTTACTCAGATCAAATATTAATTGCTAATTTGGAGAAGACACAGGTGGTCGGTCACTAGAACATCAAGTACTTTTTTTTTTTTTATTGGGAAGGAATGAACAATTTTGTAACAGTGCAAATAAATATAATTGTTGTTTCAGAAAAAAATTGTACCTCACAGTATTGCTATTACCAATTTTGTCAAAAAGGCCTTACTTAAGCCAGAAGCTTTCAATTGGATAAATCACTTTTCTTTAAAGAGAGATTTTTATATTGTGTTATTTTTAATCTTATTAAAATTGAAATGTTTGATGAACATGAAAAATTCCCATGAAATGAGATGTCAAAACAGGTTACCATTTGGTTGCAAACTTTGATCTACTATAAAACTGCTTTTTAAAAATGGCTTAAATGCTAATTTTTTTTTTTTAGTGCTAGTGTTTTATTATTAGAATGTCTTTTGAATTGGAATCTTATGAGTTTTTAAGTATCAGTGAAGATTTAATTTCTCAGCATCTATACATTGCCAACTATTTGAAAATTATTTCTTTGATCTCTATCTCATAGCAAATGAGGAAAACAACAATCTGTTTTTTGGATAATACAGTTATATTTATTAATATACAAAAGTTTTGCTTTCCTTTTGTTTGGTGAGTCAATACATTTGCTATGGTATAAAGAGAACATTCCTGAGAATAGAGATTATTTAAAGTCAATCTGGGGGTGCCTGGGTGGCTCAACGGTTTAGCGCCTACCTTCGGCCCAGGGCATGATCCTGGAGTCCTGGGATCGAGTCCCACATCAGGCTCCCTGCATGGAGCCTGCTTCTCCCTCTGCCTGTGTCTCTGTCTCTCTGTCTCTCTCTCTCTCTCTCTTTCTCTGTGTCTCTCATGAAGAAATAAAAAAAAAAAACTTAATCTGCATTTAATTTGCCTTTTTTAAAATAAACAAACACCTACTGTTCTTAACTCTGAATATCACAATTACAATTATTCAATGGATTGTGATCATTTACTATATAAAATCTAAAGACCAACAATGAACATCTCCCACATAAACCTGAGCTTCAGGACCAGCGCATCACACCATTTATTATTAGCACTGCCTTATCAGCCACAAAGGCTATCCCTTCTTCCTTCCCCCTAGTCCTTACTTGCTAGTTAGCCTGTGAGAATGACAAGATACATGGGTCAAGTAAAAGGCCAGTGCCATCAGCCTTATCCTCCTGGGTATTGTTGTGACTATTTATTTTGTATTACCTTTCATAATTTCATTTCTGGTTGCTCTGTGAGAATTTCCTGTTTAGAGTCTGTTTCCCCTACAACCATTGTGAGCTACTTAAGAATAGGGACTATATATGCTCATCTTTGTATTTCTGAGGCTAAATACAATGTCTGGAACATAATATCCTTCATAGATCATTATCACATATAAGCAAAGAACTACGAATTTGTATATCTATAGGTATTTGAATAGGCTTAAATCTTTGAGGATATGCCATCATCACATTTATATTTTTCAGGTGTTTATTTTCCTATTTTCTTCAACAGTTGGTAGTGTTTCTCCTTGGGGGAGGAGTGTGTGTCAAGGAGAAATGCTATGGCAAAAGGCCCTTCAGGCAGGCAGGCAGGTTTACCATTCTGGGCTCCTGAAGCGACTTGTTTCTTTGTTGTTTACAAAGTCAGAGAGAACTATTCATATATATCAGTCTAGACTGAAGATAGTCGGGAATGAGTGAGTGAGGCTTCTTTTAGCATTAAGGCCATTTTAACACCTATTACAGACGCTGGAACGCGACTGCTACCCAGGGAAATGGAAACTTCACACGGGTGGAAAACAAAGTAGTCCACAGTCCTCTGTGCTAAGGGGCTTCTTTACTCACTTTCTGGCGACAAAAATGAAAGAGGTGCAATTGTCCTTTCGCAATGATGGACTCTTAACACCTGATTAGTTCTGGCTAAATGATGATTTGTCTGTACCATTCCTTTCCCCAGGAGATGAAGGCCTTTGGCATTCAATAATAAGGCCTAATTAATTGCAACCAACACAACGTGCTTAGTATGCTGAACACTACCCCTGTGTGGGGAAAAATACACTGCTAATAATGTACCCTTATGCTGCTTGTTTAAGTACACAGGCCTGGAGCATGCTCCGAGAGACTGTGCAAAAGTGCAACAGCGCTGTTCTGCCTCTAGGGTTGGTATAATTTTTTTGACTACCGGTGGTAAAAAGCAGGAGCTAACCCACAAAAACGTAACTAGACCCGAGAAACTTAAAGTGTCAGGGCCACATTCGCCCAGTGAACACTAATCTTTCTCTACGTGTTGAGGTCTTCCCTGGGGGGCGGGGCGGGGGGGGCGCTGCCAAACAAACCTAACTATCGCGAGGAGGGAGAATCAGAAAATAAATAGGACGGGGATGGCCGCAGGGCGTCAGAGGTTCTTTGATTTACCTTTCGCGACACAGCTTACAGATGTTCTACGTTGAACAAACAAGCAGAACCACCCCGCCGAAGGTGTCAGGAACCTTCCCCTGGCGTCCCCTCACCTCACCTGACGTCGCGTTAGCTCCGGGCCCGCGCTCGGCTTCCCGCTCAGGCAGCCTCCGGCCTGCGAGCAGTAACCGGCGCCGAGTCCGGCAGGAACACAGGCCGAGGAGGGCTCGCCAGTCTCCGACTTCCCACCAGGCTTCCCAGCTCCGCTTGTCGCTCGAGCCGAGACAGGAGAGAAAAGGAGCGACGAGGGCAAAGGAGAAAATGGGTAAGAACCCTGGCAGCCACGCGCGCAGGCGCGCCACGCGCACGGCCCGCGGCGGGGCCGAGGGGGCGGGGCCGAGGGGCCGCCGGAGCTCCGCCTCCTTCCTCCTTCCTCCTTCCCCCGCCCCGTCCCCGTCCCCGTCCCCTCCCCCTCCCCCTCCCCCTCGCGCAGGGGCGTGTCTGACTCTCGCCAGCCCCTCCACGTCAATCAACCCTCCTCCTCCTCGCACTCTCTGCACCTTGTTATTAATCCCAATTCCGACCTCGCGCGGACGCTTCTCCCCGGGCCTCGGGGCTGTGAACGTGGGAGCGAGAGCGAAGGCACCGGAAGCTGGCGTCCCTGTGCAGCAGCCTTGGGCCCGGCAGCGGCAGGCGCAGCAGCAACCCCGCGGCAGCGGCAGCGGCAGCGGCAGCGGCAGCGGCAGCGGCCCCAGCGCCTGGAGGCCAAGGCCAAGGCCAGGCTCTGCGCCGCTCTCGGAGTAACAGCCGCGGCTGCGGAGGCGCAGCGTCCTTCGGCCGTGGGCCGTCGCGTCGGGGGCCGCGGCCGCGGGGCCTCTCCTGAGCGCCCGGGGTCACCGTCCGCGAAACCCAGCGGCGCGGCCCGCGCCCCCCTCCCCGCCCCCCGTCGGCCTCCCCGCTCCCGGCAGCCGCCCTCCTCGCCGCCGCCTCTGCCGTTCCTCAGGCGGCCCGGCCCGGCCCGGCCCGCCCGCCCCGCGTCCCCTCCGGCCGGTGCCTCTCCCCCCGGCGGGCTGCCTGCATGTCTTTGCTGCCCTCAGCCCCGCCGCCACCGCCGCCGCCGCCTCCCCCGCCGCCGCAGCACCAGCACCAGCAGCAGCCGCCCCGCCGCCGCCGCCGCCGCCGCCGCCCGGACCCCGGCGCGCTGAATGCAGGTGAGGAGCGGGCGCAGGCCCTCGGCGGCCCCAGGCCCGGGCGCTGGCGCTCCCAGGCGCCCGCGGGCGGGACCCGGGCCCTGCCGGCGGCGGCGGCGGCGGCGGCGGCGGCGGCGGCGGCTTCCCAGCGGGGCGGGCGGGGGCGAGGCCCGCCCGTGGGTGTTTGTGTTTGCGTCTGCGGCCGCGGCTTGGGAGGGAAGCATCTGGGGGGGCCTGGTGCGCGCGCGCGGCTGTGCCTCCGCTGCCGCGGGCAAATGGCTGCTGTTGCTCCGTGTGGGCCAGAGGGAGAGGATGAGGTAGAGTGTGTTTGCGCCTCGGAGCAGGACCGAGTGTGGGGAGGAGGAAAGCGTCCCCGGGGAGACGAAGCGGGAGAGGGACGGATGTGCGTGTGGGTGCGCGAGGTGAGACTGTGGCGGGCGGGGAGGCGGCCTGAGGACCCGGGGCGAGTGGGTGTGTGTCGGGTCGGAGGCGGCGAAGGTTCCGGGGTGGGGGTGGGGGGGTCGGCGCCCGCGGCCTGGCTCTCGGGGGGCGGGCTTCGTGTGTCTGGGACCCCCGAGTGGCGCCCCCCTCCCGCTCTGTGGCCGAGGCCCGGGTGCCTCGCGGGTGGGAGCTGCTCGGCCGGGCCGGGCAGGGCCGGGGAGTGTGTGCGCGGCACGCGCGCGGCGGCCAGGCCGGCTGAGCTGCGGGTCGGGGCCGCGCCGCTGCTCCCGGGCCCGGCAGGAAGCGCTCCGGCCTGCAGCGCGGCCTAACCGCCTCGGCGCCCGCCCGCCCGCCGCCCGCCGCCAGCGAGCCCCCCCCCCCCCCCCGCCCGCCTCCCGGACGCCCGGCCCGCGAGGACCCGGGGCGCTGCCTCGGGCCTGGGCAGGTGAGGGTCGGAGGCGGGACGCGCGGATTGCCGTCGCCTCGGCCGCCTCCGCGTCTGCCGAGGAGCGAGGCGAAGGCTTATTTTGGCGTTCGGGCTGCAAGCTCTTCCCCTCCGGGCGGCGGGACCCGAGGGAAAGTGACTCAGAGCAGTGGATCTCGGGAATACTCGGAGCGGAGATCCTTTCGCTTCGTCTCTCCCCGAGGGCCCGGGGGAGGGACTGCGTACACGTTTTCAGGTTCGTTGCACGTATTTTCTCGTGGGTCCCATGCGTGCAATTTTTAAGATGGGATTTTTCCCGAGAGGCGAGGGGAGAAGTGGGAGCTGGCTTTCCTGTCCTGTGGTGTCGGTGGGATCGGGTCGATTTTGTGCATTTGAGATGGTTTTATCCTGCCTCTGCCTCCTAGGGGAAAGGCGTGTACACGCGGAACTGAGGAGGTTGGCGAGGAAGAGGAAGTTACCGTAGCTGTCATCGTCCCTAGCTCGGCCTGTTTATCTTAGGCTGTTCCGATGGATTGTGTTCAGGGAGTTTAGCTGAGCCGATTGTACACGTTGGAAGCACAGTGTTGCGTTTTACTACCCTACTGCTTCTGCTTATCTGTGTTGCCAGTCAGGATAGTCACGTACAAACAAACACGCTTCACTCACAATCCCCAAGACCTAGATCAAGGAGCCTTTATTGTCTACCCGGTGTGTGTGTGTGCTCCAGGGAAGCTGTTTTCGAGAGTGGTCTCGGCAAAGCGCAACTATGAAGATAAATCTGCCGATAGGTACACGCAGTGCGTCGTAGGCCCAAATAGAAATGGTATTTGAACGATTATTTGCTTTACTCCGCCCTCCTTCCGTTTGCATTTCGTAAGCTCATCTAGCTAGGACCCTATGGATGAGGCCCTGGTACAGATTTGATCTTTGCAGACCATGCTCTGTATAATGGCCAGATAGCCCTGTTTCTAAAACTGGTCTCGCAAATGTTCCAGGCTGTGCACTGGGAACAAGAGTGGAGGGAAGAATAGGAGTGGAGAGCTGTTTTCTGTGACCACTGCTGGAAAAACAACATAGGTAGTTTAGTGGAAAAAGGGCTTGTTTTACCTCAGAACTCTGGCTGTGCCATTTTTCTTAGCTGTTTTGACCTTAGCAAGTTACCTAATGTCTGTAAGTCTCTGTTTTTTTTTTCATCTGTAACAAGGAGATAATGCCTTTATAGTGAGGTTGTCCTGAGGGTGGAATGAAAAAAACATGTTTGGCACATAGTAGAGGCTTAGTTAAATATTCCTCCCGCAGCCCTGATTGTGGGCATTGAAAAACATGTGTAAGGACAAATACCCATTTGATAACTGAGAGCAATATTTATGTAATTGTAGGTTAAAAATCAAGGCAATAGAACATTTCAGAGTCCTTTGATAATATGTAAGGTATATATAAACTTTTAATGTTTTTTTTTGTCTTTCCTAGAAATAAGACTGTCATTAAAGTGGCCTTAGTATATTAGTTTATAGAGACTGTCTAGTCATACTTTTTTCCTCTGTATCTTTGAATAGGCCATCTCTCAGTTTTACTACTTTTATGATTCTGGCTATGTAGTTCTGGAAAAAATTGTACTGTATATAGCACATATACATTCCAATACAGTCAAGCATTAAAATGGATCAAGAAACGAGAGTGTAGATTACTTTTACAGATTCATAAAGCATAAGTGCCAAAAAAATTGCTATGTGATTCTTTGAGTTCATGTTGACTGATTTGATAAACAAAAACTTCTTGGAATATATTCTTGGATGGTTTAGGGAAAAATCCTCAATCAACTTTAAATAGTTTTCCATTTTTATTACTCTCTGTGGAGTAGTGAATGTGCTGTTCATTTATTTTTAATTGTGGAGAAAAAAATGATGATACAGAGTTTAAGGTAAAGGCAATGGAAAGGTTAAAGAAGGATTTTTTTTTTCTTTTCTATCTTTTTAAAAATTATTTTGGTGAAGGCAGGATGAAGAGAATGTGAGGAGTTTCATTGGGTTAAGTTTGTAGTATGTCCATTTACTAAAGCCAGGTTTCCAAATTAGGCCTTATTTTTATTTATATCAGCAATGGTAAGCTTAAAAAAAAAAAAACTCTTGTAAATCGCTGAAATTTTAACACTTTTGTGAAGGATAGTAGGGGGAACTTTATTAGAATGAGAAATGTCATGGTTTTTTTTTAAGTATGTGTCTTACGGGCATGTCTGCATTTACAGTGGACAGAATTATCTGCCATATGGTTATATTTAAAGGAAGAATTCTTAAGAATTATAGAGGATAATAAGTAAAGAAACACAGTGAAATAATAGATGATTTTTAATACTTTAAGAACAATAAAATAGAAAATTTTGTTTTAAACTACATAGACATTAGATGTTACAAAGTAGACATTATGAATCACAGTGTTTTAAAACACTTAATGATTTTTTAATTTGGGAAAAGCGAGGAAAACATTTCTTTGTGATCATGAAAATATATTGAACTAAAATATTAAGACATGTGGACAGTAAATTTATTAACCGTGGAACTGCTCATGCTATCATTGTTTAAAGTAATTATGTTTCAACAAAATCAAGGTGGAAAATTATTTAGATTTTAAAATTTAATGTTACTTAAATGGGCTTTTAAACAGTCTTTCCAAAATATCCCTTACAAATGTCTTTAATCGGGGGGAATTGAAATACTTAAGACTTTGTGTATGTATTACTCTGGATAATGCTAATTAGGGCAATAAATACACCAGAATTTCAGTGGCTTAACACATGTAAGTTTGTATTTTGCTCACATGTAACAGTTCTGTGCAGGTGCTCCTGGTTAGCAGGCTTGTGGCTTTCCTCCATGTGGTATTTGAGGGACCCACACTCCTTACATCTATGGCTCTAGTATTCTTTAGGGACTTGGAGCCTTGCCTGTTACTTACAGGCCATTTTTTAAGAGCTCCCAGACTTAAAGTGACAAACATCTGCCCACATTTGACTGGTGAGAATTTGTCATAGAGTCTTATTTGAATGCAAGGGGGAGGAGAATGTAGTCCCCAGATGGTGGACAGCTTGGGGCATTTTATGATGTTGCTTTAGATGGTAGTGTATATTTATGAAATTATGTCAAAAGGGTGAGTTACAATACTTAAAAATTGCTTTCCATCTTCAGAGAGTAAAATTGGGGCAGTTGGT